TTGACGACCAGGCAGAGGCGGTGATGAGGGCGGCGAGGGCGGAGATAGCGGCGGCACTGAACAAGATGAAGAAGGACTCCCAAGAGGAGGTGGAGGCGAGGCTGGCAGAGGGGATGAATAAGTTGGAGGCTGAGCTGGAGGAGGCGCTGGCCGGACTTGAGAGGCAGAAGGAGGAGACAATCAAAGCCCTCGACTCGCAGATCGCAGCCCTCAGTGAGGAGATTGTAAAGAAGGTGCTCCCTGTTTCCTAAAAACAAACAAACAAACAAAGGCACAAAAAATAGAAGTAAAAATGCAATCTTGATTGTTTGTTCGTTTCGATGTTCAGTTTATTCTTCGTCTTTGGTTGAAGTACTGCAACCTTGGATGTTTCTGTAAGAGAATTGCATATGTATAAATAGTTTTGATTTGAATATTGATATGAAGTTACATTTTTCAAGTAAATGATTTTGTCTAGTTAATTTGGAGGGCTATGTATTAGCCATTTTCAGGGGATTGTTCTCTGTTGTTCTTCAATATAGTTCTGTTGTGGTTCTTGATCAATTAAAAAGTGTGGTGTAATGAAGATAGCAAAGAAGGTACTCCTGTTTCAGACCGAAAAAAAAAAAAAGAAAAAACCTGAAATAGAAGTGAAAATGCAATCTTGGTTATGTATTCAACTTGGATGTTCGGTTTACTCTGATTAAAGAAATGCAATCTTGGATGTTTCTGCAAGTGAATTGCAACTGTACAAAACGGTCTTGGGTTGAATTCTTTATATGAAGTCACATTTGTCTGGAGAATGATTTCGTCTAATTGAGATTAGCCATTGTCATTTAATTGTGCTATGTTGTTCTTCCGCTATTCCATACAGTTCTGTTGTGGTTCGTTGATTAGCCAAAAGTGTTGTGTTCGTTGAATTTTGTCTACAGGCAAAAAAGTTATGCCTGTTGGGTTTGAATTTTGGTGCCATTAACAGCATGGTTTTTAGTAATGTGCAACTAAAATGAACTAGGGTGAAGTGTGTATTTCAATTCTTGCGATGATGATTTATCATTACTGCTGGCGCTGCTTCAGTGCAAATCATGTAAAGCCTAAAATTTGATTTCGAAGAACTTTGAGAAGTCGATTCGTGAGAGTTAGATGCATGTGACAGATTAACACAAACACTCTTTTTTGCTGCCAGGATTGCCCTTTTTTTTCTTAATTCTGGATTTCTCTGAATTTGAAAGTTACCGCTTATCTCGCACTTCTAAAATGACAAATGCAAAATTATTATATTTCACAATATAATTATATATTTTTTATTAAAAATGTCGGTTTGTCGATCGCTTGATCATTTGCCCGCCTCAGACCAGCGTCTGTACGATGGGGCAAAAGCATATATGCACACACTGAAATACAAAGTTCACAGATAGTTTAAATCAGGCGTAGGTTGTCAAACCTTAGTTATTGTAACCTCAAGTTCTTGTTATAGTGAGACGATCATGAAATAAGAGTTTTTTTTTTTTTTTTAATTATTATTCGACCTCCTCCTACCTTAACTTGTTTGAGACTAAAAGACTATGTTGTTGTTGTTGTATTATTATTGACCTCCAAAGCATTTAAGTCTTTAGGCATAAATTTAGTATGTGTGTTAAATAATACTTGACATTTTTGTCAAAATTTTTATGTCTAATAAATAATATGATAATATCTATGTTTGTAAAGCTTTACGCAAGTTTTTGCAATAGTTAAGTACAAAGAAAGTGTCGATAAATACACTCGATCTATTTTTCCCCTGTTATTACCCATCCCACCGTAGTGATATATACCGAAAAAGTGTTGTCCAGCATGTTAGAAAAATGTGTGGAATCTTGGTATGTGAAATGAAGTAAGAATTGCAGAAATTTGGTGTTTTGGTGGCTATAATGCTATTATGGTGTGTAATGACTAAAACATAAGAATGTAAACAATATGTACGATGAAATTCCAAAAAGAAGAACTTAGTAGAAATGTAAAATTCGAAAACTGAAAAAACATAGCAGGATAAATTTATGTTCATTGTGCTCTTGCAACAACCTTGGTTGTGTATTATTCTATTACTTTGTTGTTTGGTTTTTTCAATGACACGCGCTAGTAGTTCGACATAAAAAAGTACTCTGTGTGATTCTCGGATATCCATTGAGGCTGAGACTGATCCGCAACTTAAATGAAAGTTGAATGATATAAGTTGGAATATAGTATTCTAGTCGATCTATATAACAAAGCTAGGATCAAATGTTTGTTATGTGGAAAAGTTATGTCGGGCGGTATACGTAGATTGAAGGAGCACCTTGGACAAATTCTAGGGAATCTTATTTCATGTAGAAAAGCAACAAAAGAGGATGAAGCCAAATGTAGAAATGTCATTAGTGAGTTCAAAGCTACAAGGGTAAAGACAAAAGAACTTCGAGAAAAGTTGCTATCTGCTGTTAATATTAAATGGTTGGACATTGATTCCTTTCAACCCTGAATCATCATTGAATGTGACAAAGAAAATGCGAGAACAAAACATTAACGATATTATTTGAAAGGAACGATCTAATTTGGTGAAAATTTATTTAGCTGATTGGGTTTATGAAACTGGCATATCTTTCAATGCACTTGATCTTGATAATTTTTGGCTCATTACCGAAGCGGTCGGTCAATTTGGGCCGAAGTGAAAGCCTCATAATCCATATGAGATGAGTGAGCCATTGTTGAAAAAAGCAGTCGAGATAACCAAACTCAGAGTGAAGCCTCATGAAGATGAATGGAAGAAGAGCGGTTGCTTGATTGTGATGGATGCTTGGAGACAAGATTGATAGAAAGAGAAGAAACATCATGAATTTGCATGGGAACTGTAAATTCAGTACAATCGTTCTCTCGTCCAAGGAATCTTTCGTTGTATCCCACACAAATAAAATGATATTTGTGTACGTGGATCAATGCATTGAGCAAGATGGGCCGGAGAATATCGTTCAAGTTGTGACATTGAATGCTTCAAACAATATGAGAGCGACAAACTTGTTACGCACGAAGAGGTCAACTATCTTGTGGACTTCATGTGGTACACACACACACACCATTAATATTATGTTGGAGGGCATTGCAAAACTACCATTGTTCAACAAAACCATTGACAATATTCATTTATGCACATCATAAGACCTTATCTATGATGATCTTACACTAAAAGTAGAGACATAGTAAGTCCCGGGGTCGCATGATTTGCCTTTTCATACCTTAGCTTGCAAAGCTAGATGAGAAAAAAAAAAAGAGGAAAAATTAAATGAGATGTTTACTAGCTTGGAGTGGGAAGAGTGGAAATGGTCTAAGACGGTCAATGGAAAAGCAAGTTATAGCACTGTGATTTCTTTATTGTTTTTTGGAATGGTGTGTAATCTTTTTTTGACTATTTCTGCTCCTTTAGTGAAGGTTTTTCATATAGCGTATGCCGATAGAAAGACGTCGATGATGTTTTTATATGGGGAGCTTATGCATGTTAAAGAAGATATAAAACTTGTCTTGAACAATCTTGTCAAATAACTATGATCCCATCCTAGAAATCGTTGACACGAAAATGATGCGTAGATTAGACACCCCATTGCACTTGATGCGTATATCTAGTCTACTAATTTTTATTATCATTATAAGAACTTAAATCTCATACTAGATCAAGTTATTTCGGATGAAGTTTTAGATTATCTTAATGTTATTTTCAAGGATAACTTTGATTTGATGAATAAAATCGTGAACGTGAGTTATAAATTTATAAGACAAAGGGAGGGGTCTTCGGGAGGTCTATTGCTGCAGAAGGTTGTGAAGTAAACGACGAAAAGTTTGATCAGGTAAATGATAATTTTTTTATTTATTTTTTATGCTTGCCTCTTGTGTAATATGTCTTGAAAAATTATATTTATTTATGAGTACTCTTACACTTGCCTTTAAAATTTAAATGGCTAGGTTTTTCATATTAATTTATCACTTCTTTTCATGCATATCAACTAGGTAGTTAAATTATGTATATGGAAACCCAATTTGCAAAGAAATCCTTATTCTCAACAATAAACCTTTTAATTTCCTTTTGAATAGCAATGACCAGGGTATAGTTGGCGATATTGATATTCCTTATGTGCTGCTAGGTATTTCATTGCCCAGTCCAAACATAGCTCGGCGGCTTGGTACTCCCAACTATATGGCTCCCGATCAGACCCCTTTTGGTTGATGTAGGTTGCTAATTGCTATCATATTTTCATTATAATATATAAATGTTATTATTTTGACTTGAGTTCGTGTATTTATTATAAGATGAGATATTTTTATCTTTTAAGTAGTAAAAATAAATAAAAATCAGACACTCTAAGCGCCAGGTGTTGATGGAGCACCTAAAGACTTCTAGAACACCGAGTTTCAATCATCAACAATTCAAGAAAGATGTACAAAATACCTAGTAGAAGTTAAGCTAGAGTTCCATTACTACAAACCCCCTTTCTATGCGATTTTAAAGAGAGAGATTCATTCACAACTACTTTTAAAGTTTATTTAAATGAATAACTTTAATTATTTATTTTTTGCTTAAATCAATTTAAACAAAAAAAAAAAAGTATATCACCAACATTCGCTCGCATCATAGACTTCTTTTAATTCAACATAAATTACTTTTTAATAAAAAAATAAATAAATAAATAAATAAATCAAAACCAGCTTGAAATCATTTTTCAATAATTAATTTTCTAACGCATCATTGGTGTGAATAATTCAAGAAAAGTTGATAACTTGCAAAATAGTCTCATGTAAAGAGAAGAGAAGATATCCAAAACTTAAATATCTCTTAGACTTTCTTGCACGCAATATTAAAGCTACAACCATCAAAGTTAAATTATGCAAAGAGAGTAAATATTGAGAAATACAAAGCATAATTATTACTACATGAAATTACTTTTCAAAAAGAAGAAGTCTCTTTTTTTACTTCAATGAAATCCACAAAATAAAATGTATCTATATCCCTATAATAACACTCACAAATACTTACATAGATCGTGTGCTTATTTTTAACACTCACAAAAGATGACTATGATAATCAACAAATTTTTAGAATTATGATTACGGTTTTGCTATTGAGTCATACAGAATTATCTATAAATAGTGTATTGACATTTGTTCTGCAACACATACAAATTGAACACGTGTCAATACATAAAGTTATGCATGACTTTATAGGGAACTATCCGATTGATCTATAGCATTTCTATATGACAATATAGTTTTGTTATGGAGTCGTCGGATGGCTCGACTTATAGAGTCATTCATAGTTATCTACAAATAGTGTATTGGCATGTGTCCTGCAACAAATACAAATTGGACACATGTCAATATATAAAGTTATGAATGACTCTATAAGAGAACCATTCAATGACTCCATAGCATTTCTATATGCCAATACAATTTTGTTGTGAAGAACTATCGGATAACTCGACTTATGGAGTCCTCTTTTATTACCCAACACTTCGAATACTAGAAAATTGGGAGTAATCATCAAATTTTTTCGCCACAAAATTTATTATATTAATTCGACAATAAAAATTAAATTGTGTGGATAAGTTCGAATATTCCAAAAATTTAAATAGGTAAAGTAAAATATGCACAAAAATTTATTCCAAAATAAATTTTCAAACCGACATTATTGGTAGGTTAAAGTAAAAAGTAAATTCAGAAAAAAAAAAAAGTAAAATTAAGATTAAAAGGAAAAGGAAAAAAAAAAAAAGCGTAAATAAGCCACGTCGAATTTTAACAGAGATGACTATTCATCTCTCTCTCTCTCTCTCTCCCTAATTTCTGTTATTCTATTCACTACGTCTCAACTCTCTCTCCCTCTCTCTCTCTCTCTCTCTCTCTGTAACTTTTCTTTTCTCTGTCGAGTATTCGTTGAATGATGATCTTCAATTCATGAGACGTTCGCTTAATACTTTAGATTAACTTTAATTCGTCGAAATCACTTTATCTGTGTCAATTTTTATCCTTTTTCTTTAGATTTCAGCTCAATCTTTTTCTTCTCCCAAATTATCAGTGAGTTTCCCTTCGCTGCCATTAATTTTTGCTGCTTGTGGAAGAAGGAATATGTATGGATTTGTTGTATGTTTCTCTTTGAAGTAGTTTTATGTGGGGTTTGCTCGTCGAGTTTTCGTAATTTCTCCCATGGCGAATTTGGGTGTTTGTTAAATCATATTTCGTATTTTTCTTGAAAAAAAATAAACTTTTTTTTTTTTTGGAAAATCGATATCAGCATAGCTAGGATTGAAGCTCGGGATTAAGAGAATTATGGGAATTTCAGACCATTTTAGTTGGGGGAATTTCTCGGTTTCTTAGAATTACAACACTAGCAACCCCAAACCCTTAAGGGCTTAGGCATGTAGTTTCTTATTTCTTGCTGTTGATGCAGAGGAATGGTGTGATTTTATCTGTTGATTTGTCTAATGATATCTATGTGCATATTTCATTGTGAAATGTTTTTAGGAATATGGCTGGACGAGCTGTTGCGAATCGGCCTGCATCGTCTTTTGAGTTTGAGCTTGTCGAAGGAGACTCTGGTGACAGTAGCACTGTTATTGCATCACCTAACCAGAATACCCTGTGGATCGACCCAACTACAATCAAGCTCAGGCACCGAATTGGAAGAGGGGCTTTTGGTGATGTTTGGCTGGCGACTCATCACCGAGTGTCGTCAGATTATGAGGAGTACCATGAAGTTGCCGTTAAAATGTTGCATTCGGTAAAGGAAGACAACGTTAGGGATGTTTTGAATAGGTTGGACAGTATAATTTCCAAGTGCCAGGGGTTGGAAACAGTTTGTTTGCTCCATGGGCTTTCTGTTATAAATAAGAAAGTGAGTTTACTGCTTGAGTTTTTTTGGAAACAGTGCTGGCTTCACAGTTAACCATCATAAATGGGGTAGTTACTAGTTAATAGTGAGAGAAGATTCTTGATACTGATATTTATATAGACTAAAGTTTCTTGTTCTGTTCTTTTAGATATGCATCATTATGAAATTTTATGAGGGCTCAGTTGGAGATAAAATGGCTCGTCTTAAAGAGGGAAAGCTGACACTAAGTGATGTTCTAAGGTGATCTTTTTTTTTTATTCTATTATGTATCAGAAAAATGTATTCTTGTTGATTTAGACTCTTTGAGACGTAAAGCATGATAGACTTCACTCACTGCAACTGTGTTTGTGTGTGTATGTTGTGTGTGTGTGTGTGTGTTTTTCTTTTTGATAATGTACAGGTATGGGGCTGATTTGGCTCAGGGAATAATGGACCTGCATGCAAAAGAAATCCTTATTCTCAACCTTAAACCTTTTAATTTCCTTTTGAATAGCAATGACCGGGTTATAGTTGGCGATATTGGTATCCCTTATGTGCTGCTAGGTATTTCATTGCCCAGCCCAGACATAGCTCGACGGCTTGGTACTCCCAACTATATGGCTCCCGAGCAGTGGCAGCCAGATGTAAGAGGGCCCATATCAGTCGAGACCGATTCATGGGGATTTGGTTGCAGCATTCTAGAAATGTTAACCGGAAAACAACCTTGGACTGGTAAATCAATTGAGGAAATATATAAATTGGTTGTTACAAAACAACAAAGGCCTCAAATTCCCACTGGACTTCCTCCTGCTGTTGAGAATGTCATTAATGGCTGTTTTGAGTATGATTTCAGGAGTCGCCCTGTCATGGCAGATATTTTGCTTGCTTTTAAGAGGTATCGTTGTTTTCATTATCCTTCAATCATAATTCAGAAAATGTATCCACTAATGACTTGGAAAAGGTAAATTAGCTATGGGTAAATGAGAAAAGATAAATTAAAATTATTTTCCTAGATATGTCTGTACTTCTACATCTGATATCCTTATCACTATTATTATTATTTTTAATTTGATTTATTCAATTACTTTACTTTTCACTTTATCACAGTTCGCAGAACGTGGCTAGTCAGGAAGGCGGCTGGACAGGTCTCGGGAGCCGAATGATCCGTGAAAAACCAGGCGGCATCGGCTACACAGAGTGGTTCCTAGCAAAAGATCACCTCCAAGTTGGCGATGTGGTCCGGTCCCGAAAGTCACCAAATTCCCGCAGCCCGAAAAACATGGAAGTCCCCGAGGGCACTGTAGTCGGGCTCGAACGCGACACGGACCAAGATGGGTTCATCCTCGTCAGGGTGCATGGGGTCCACGACCCCATCCGGACCCACGTGTCCACGCTCGAGCGGGTCACGTTCGGCCTGGCCGCCGGCGACTGGATCCGCCTGAAAAGGGAGGACAAACGCCACTCGCCGGTCGGGATCCTCCACGCTGTGAATCGAGACGGGAGTGTAACGGCCGCATTCATAGGCCTTGATACGCTGTGGAAAGGTGACTACTCGGAGTTCCAGATGGCGAAGCCTTATTGGGCGGGCCAGTTTGTGAGGCTCAAGCCAAGTGTGTTCAGCCCCCGATTCGAGTGGCCTAGGAAAAGAGGCAGTGACTGGGTGGCTGGGAGAATTTGTCAGGTGCTGCCCAACGGGTGCCTAGTCGTCAATTTTCCAGGCAGGCTGATGATGGGGCGCGGGAGCTTTTTAGCCGACCCTGCTGAGGTGGAGCTCGTGTCATTCGAGACATGTCAGGGAGTGGTGAGGAAGTACGAGCACTTGGAGGATTTCCACTGGGCCGTGAGGCCACTGCTGATGGCGCTGGGCCTGTTCACTGCAATGAAGGTGGGATTTTTCGTTGGGAGGAGAGTTGGGCCCGGGAGGTCGAGGGCGAAGAAGGGGAAGGGTTCAGTTGGGGGGAATGAGGATAAGAGTGCGGAGGCCGAAGGAGGTGGGAAGGGTGGTGGCGCGTGGCGGCCTCCGAAGGTGGCCAAGATCTTCAGGTGATTGATTGATGCTTGTTTCATTTTATGATTTCGAATCAGGTCTTTGAAGATCGTCAGATGCTTGTGTAAATATTTAATGTCTTATTTTACTGCTGGCAAGAGGTTGATTTGTTGGAAATTTGGGACTTTCCGTTTTATAGGTGCGTTCGTAGGTGACTGAAACATATGTGTGGACTGGTGACTTGTTTGTGTAAATAGACGGTTGGGGTTTTGTTTACTTTAAGGATGTTCAGTTATCTGTTACTTGACTGCTGCAAATGATGCACTATTTGAAGTTTTGAACAAGAGATGGAACGAATATTAATGGGAGTTTTAAAGATGTTTGTAATTATGTTAAAACATCAAAACAATAAATATTGTAAATGAGTTTTATCAGTGGCACGAGATGGAAGCAAAAACCAGAATTAGCAGCTTGCAACAACACATGAGTAAACAAGATCGATTACTTTCGAAAGCAGCAAAAGTACCTTGCTTAGATTCTTTACATGCAACACATGATCAGAAATATAGAAACCAAATAAAATCATCTAAACATCCAAATTTCAACCCGTGCAACGGTACACATAAAAGTATAAGGTATAAATCTATCAAACCTCGTATCCACTGTATAAAATAAAAACAAGTCAGATGTCTAAACCTCTAAGTCAAGAAACTAAAACAATCTCTATTGCGTACTCATGTTGCCCGCAATACCTGCTTCTTTCACAAGATGCTGTGTTAAAGCAAAAAGCCGTGAAACTTCCGACTTAACTTCCTCAGGACACTCGTTGCTAGACGTGTTCATCCAACCACGGGACCCACCCTGCTCGGCTAGGTCTTCATCACACTCATCCTCAACACTCGAGCCAGCTTTACCCAGAAGCTCCCGACTCATTTCAGTGATTTTGCACAGTGCATTTGTAGCGGCTTCAACTTCCAGCCGAGCCGCTTCTAATTGAAGTTTCTCAATAGCAAGTTCACCCACGCTCTTTTCGCCGATCGTCTCCTGTGCCAACGCGTACAGTTTTCTCAAATCTTCATTTTCCCGCATAATTTCTTCCTTCATCTCTGTAATTTCCTTCTCTCTTGAATTCAATTCTGATAGCACCATTCTCAGCTCCTCATCTTTCATGGCGAGGTCCTTCTGTGCCGTAACAATTTCCATTTCCTTAGCTCTGAGACTTTCCCGGGTAAACTCGAGTTCGGCTTCGAGCCGTTTTATCTGCCATTTGAAACCACCAGTAGAGAACCCGTCATATTCTTGTTCGAGTGGGCTTAGTACAGTATATGCTTCGTCGTTAACAATTTCATTGGTGAGATTCACTATCTTCTCCACCACCAACTTGGCTTCCGAAAATTTGAAATTGGCATCCATTAGCTCGGTCTGCACTATCTGGACATGCTCATCTTTCTCCTTCAGCATGGACATTGCTCGAATAAGATCGTCTTCTTTGTCTAGCAAGACCCCCTTTAGTTCCGAGATCTCCTTATTCACTTCCTCTAATCTTATCTTCGCATCTGAGAGTTCCATTTCTTTCTCTTCGAGTATGAGCCGAAGGGAGCACTGTTCGGACTTCAAATTCTGGATTTCAAGCCTTGCCTCGACTAACTCCGACTCTTTAGCCTCAAGAAGCCTCTGTAATTCTCCGAATGCAGCCATTTTGCGCTCGATTTCCTCCTGAAGAGCTGACTTTTCTTGAACTGCTCGTTCTAAAGAGCATCTCTCTTTATCCAACTCATCCTGTAACTCCTCAACAAGTTCCTTTTCCAATGATAAATCCCGCTTGAGCTCCTTGTTTCGAGCTTCAGCAAGCTTTAGTTTCACTCTTTCACTCTCCACTTCAACTTCGGCATCTCTTAAGCTCGACAGGTATGACATGACGGTCGTCCTTTGCTCTTCAAGTTCTGAAAGCTGCTTTTCCAACAGCCTATCTTGACCTTCCATTTTTTCCCTTGACAAAGCTAGAGCTTCCCGGGACGAAATCAACTCGGACCTCACATCCACAAGAAGCTTTCTCACTCTTCCAAACTCTTCCACAGCCTCATTTGCGTCAAGGCCCTGATTAGAAGTCTCATTGGTCAGCTTTCTCAATTCCTCCTGAGTCACCAGCCAATCCGTGGCTTGCTTCTTTAACTTAGCTTCTGCAGATTTCAACTTCTCGGATTCGCTCTTCTGTAATCCAATTGAAACTTCTAATTCACTCTCCTTCTGCCGGATTTCACTCTGGAGCCTCCCGAGCTCAATTTTTTGCTTCCCAACAATTTTATTAGTTTCCTCCACGAGTCTCGACTTGGACAAGAGTTCTAATTCAAAAACCGCAGCTCTTTCGCTCATGCTAGTCAATTCATGCTCCATCTTCATGATTTCCCCTTCTTTGCCCGACAGTACTGATTGCAGATCCAAAATTTCCTTCTCTCTCTCTTTCAAGCTAATTTTAAGATTCCCAATTTCTACAGATTGAGAAGCTAACTCTAAATTCGCTAGCCTCAGCTCCTCCTCTAGCTTTCCCTGCTTCCGCCTGGCAGCCGCGATTTCCTCCTCCCGTCTCTCTAAATCTCGCCTGGCAATATTAAGCTCATCGATCTCCAACAAGACTTTCCTCTCGGCTTCCTGAAGGCTTTCTTCCTTTCTCTTCAATGCTGAGAGGGCCACCTGAAGATCAGACTCCAGCTTGACCAAGTTCAAGCCGAGCTCGGCTGCGTGGGGTGAGTTGGGATCCCGCCCTATTTGCTCCTCGAGCTTTTGTGTCTGGGCGAATAGTTTCTCGAGGAGAATCCTTGCAGGCTCGGTGGCCCCATTGTCGTTGATGCTCGAGGGTGTCCTGCTGTCTAGAACTGATCTGACAAAATACGAGGGCTCATACTTTTTCCTGAGGGGCTTTAGAAGCTCTAATCGCTTGTGGTAAGGTTTATGATCAGAACATCGTAACTGCAGAGAACATCACAAATTTTTTTTATCTTCAATTATCTTCAGAACATATTTACTTTCACCTCATAAATTCAAAGAGTTCAATTCATCTGCGGTTCTCAACAATCAAGTCTCGCATACAAATTCCGCACCATTAACCAATTGGGGGCAAAAGCAGATAACATAAATTTGTTGCAGAAAGATAAAACAAAAAGGAAAAGAAAATCCAATTACACACACAAACACACACACACACACACACAGAGCGATAGAGAGAGAGAGAGAGAGAGAGAGACCTGAGAGAGACGGTGAGGAAGAGCGAGGTAAAAAGAAGCGGAAAGGGCCGCCATGCTTCATTTGCCGACGACATCTGAAGTTAACCGGACATTCGAATTCGTAAACTCGGCACAAACCATCGGGTGAAGATGAAGATGAAATTCTTAAGATCTATAGATAATATTGCCAAAATATGCAGCAGCTCAAAGAGGCGTATGCGCACGCATTTTACAGAGAAGCTTGAAGATGAGGAAAAGAATTAGAAAATGGAGGGGAAAGCAGGCGCACGTTAGAACATCTCCGATAGTATTGGCTATCAAAGTCAATAATTTTTGACAATTTAGCTAATGATTCCACATAAGAATTAATGTTAAATTACATTTTATTGGTGCAAAAACCATACAAAAATTAAATTAAATATAAAGTCAAATTAAACCATAATGTTAAATCAAATTTTATTGATACAAAAACCATAAAAACCATGAGTTGTTTAACATGATATTAAATATTAAAAAATATGTTTAACATTATTACCATTAAATATTATTTAGTGAGATGCGGCGGTCTCGTTACGAAATTATTCTGTCGGAGTTTGAAACTGTTAGATCAACGATCCTCGACGATTACATGATGATTTACCGATTACAAATTTCAAAAGAATGATTCCATAATGGCCGTAGCATTTTCCATTTATTTGCCTCTTCGTGAGAAGAGTTAATGACAATATAAATCGGAAAATAATTAATAATATACTTTAAAATTAGTTAGATGGATGATTTTTTAAAAGTCAAGAGAATACTCTCATAAATTGTGAGGCGGAGGTTTGTGGCAACCCACCCCCTTTCTCAGCCTTGAAATTTTTATGGATTTTGGGAGGCCCACAACTCATTGGGCCCACTATATCTTGATTATTTTGTACTGGGCCCTATATATTTCCATTTATTTTCATTGTAATATTTACTTTTTCTTAGCCTTTTTATTTATATTTTAAGTTTGCTTCGCTCTTAGTTATGAAATAAAGATGTTCTTTGGCCTTTTTAAAACATTTTTTACATTAAAGTATGCCTTTATTATTAAGTCAAAATGTCATATTGATTACCCTTCCCAGTTAATCTATATATATATTAAAGCTAAGCAGCTGAAAAAATTTTCTTTTTCCCCTCCAAAACTACATTTATTACACTGAAATAAATTTTGATAACTTCTATGTAATACAACCATCAACTTAATAAGTTTTTACAAAAACAAAAAAAAAAAACACTTAATTATGTATATATATTTATTTACTTATTAAATAGTTACTCTTATATTCCCAAAGCTTCATTTACTATACTTTTTTTTAACTTTTATGTAACTCAACCATAAACATAATTAATTTTTGTAAATAAATATATAATTATAAATGTATTCAAAATTTATAATTTATAAACATTATATTCAATTAAACATTTATTGTGCAATTAAAATTGATGTGAATTTGTGTTCAAAAGTAATAAATTATAAAAAAAAACTATTAGAAGCTATATATTCATCAATTTGCATGTATGTTGGAGTAAAAATTGTCTGCTATAATTGTCTTTCCTTTATCAATGAAATTTTATTTAAATAATTCAATATTTTTACAGCGAAAATCTCAATGCATATTTCAAGAAGTTTAATTAGCTTCCGTTTATAAATAATTTTCAGTCCAAATAGCTAGATATATTATTGACTTAATGACTAATAATGATATTGAAGAATTTTTCTCTTAATTCCACAAAAAAACTAAAAACACAATTTTAAAGTATAAAAGATAAAATTCTTGCAACATAATTTTTTTTTGTTCTACAATTATCCTTGACGTTTTCCAATTCAAGACTACTATTTAAATTACAACGATGATATTTTTTATTATGTTGTCTTAGGCAATGTGAGTTGATCAAAAGTCAACTATTGTTGTTATATGTGATATTGTTGCTGAAAAAATATGCACTTAGTCATAATAGTAGCATATTGTTGTTTCTAGAGTTATAAATGAAAGATTAATATTTTCATTGACAATAGTGATCATAATAAACTCAATTTGCCTACAACTAATGTTATATGTATAATTATTCAAATGCTTAATAAGTGGCATTATTTTAAATAAATTGTCATTTGTTTAAATTATAATTCATCAATATATTTAACATGATGTCGCGCAACGCGCGGGTGCCGTACTAGTTCCTCTAAAATCCGCAATCTATTTCTTTTCCCATTGCATTCTCCAATATATATTTCTCTTTTCTGTCGACCCCGTATAAATACTAATACTATTATTATTGATTTATTTTTAATTGTAAAGCATTGAAAAAATATCTTCTTCCTCATCTATATACTCTCTCTACATATCTTGAAAAAAAAAAAAAAATTGACCTGCATCTTCTAATAAGATAACTAGTAATTACCCGTGCGATGCACGGGATGGTATATTTCTAAACATTTTTAAATAATAAATATTAAATTTAGTGAACTTGTTATATTTGTAACAAAAGTAAACACGTTGGGCGCAAACTACAACATTCATAAATTATTGAAAATTTCTTTGTACACAACGATTTTTGTTTGACTTGGCGTCGATTCATCGTCACCACAAACTTAAAATTTCAAACCAATTCGGTTGGTGGCACGGGATACAACAACGTATAACTGTTCATGGCTGCACACAGACTTCTTAAGAAATAAACCAACATGCGATAACCATTGTCTCTGGCTCTTGTTGATAGTCATGGCGTACGATACCATAATAGAAAACTGACGCCTTTGGAACTTGAAAAGAATTCAGACATCGGAAGGAGTAATAGCCATTCTAGGAAGCAACATCTTCTCACCTGCGTCTTTTAAAATAAATATGATCTGTGAACGAAAGAAACAAATAAAAAAGATAACATTTATTGGGATGTATGTTGTTTATGTCCTTATTTCTACTGCCAAAATTATGTTTTTTCAAAATTCAAAAACGTAGATCAAAAAATTATTTTAATAGGGCTGAAAAGTAATCTAACATCTTTATCAAATTTACCATTTAAGATCAAATGAATTCGAGTGTCAAGATCCAATTGAATTTGTAATTAGGAAAATAGTCGATGAAATAAATATGGCCATGATATATGGACGTAATATTATTACATGGATATTGGATCCAAACAATCTTTAAGGATAATATAACATTTTTATACATTAATATTTAATATATAGATATATAATTCTGAAAAATTTAATGATGATTATATTTGACAAATGAACTAAACAAATATTTGATAAATGAACTAAACAAAATATACTTGAATATGTGTGAATATGTCAGTTCATGGATAGTTCCATACACAAATTCGATGTCATTACTACAGAAACAATAAACATGCATCCATATCAATTATGGAAAAATAGGGAATTGAAGGAAATTACTAACTACATAAAATAAAAAGAAAACTTACATATATTCCCAAGCTGAGTTTAAACTTACATATATCAATTATGAACCTTTTCGACTTCATGACCAGTGCTTTGATACTGATGTAAACTTTCCTCCAACTCTTCTATTTTGTAATGAAGATCCTCTTTAGTTGTGTAGAAATGTAATTGCTGAGTTTTGAAGATCAATTTCCTTTGATTTGACTTGACCCTGTTGAACACAAAAATAAAAAATTAGCTTCAAGTTCTACATCAAATATACGGAAAAAAGGTCTACATGCTAAAATTTTATCTGAAGATGTATCTAATTCTTAAGTTTTTCTCAGTTTTTGTCATTCTCGTAATTAAGTTCTTCAATAGAAAGACACAATTTTGAACCACCCAAAAAAAAATTCCAGCCATAGATCCAATGCAATTTTGCAGATAATAAAATTGAAACGGCAACAGAAAAATATGGGACGAAAGTTCTAAAAACCTTCCTCAAATCTGGCTATAAGAAAAGGATCACACAAGCAAACAAACTTGAAATAAAAATAAAAAATCTGAAACTAAATTTCATAATTCTTCGCGATTGCATTCGGTAAAGACTCAAACTTTCTTCACTTCTTGATTTTCTCCTGCTAAAAATGTGAATAAAATTTATAAGCCTTTCAGTGATTGAAAACATAAAAGATACCAAAATTGAATAACATTCATAATGCCGAAGAAAAAAAGAAGCATGGTAAAAGATAATAGAAATCATGGTTGTGGAGAGGCCAACTTTGTGGTGGATTACTTGGCTTCTTTGGCGGCCAAGGGTCCGGGTTATCTTCAAAGGTTGGCGAGCCCTCTGCTGGGGGCGAACGTTTGGTTACACCATGATAGGGTTGGCGTGTCCTATCCTCGATCGGTTCTAGCTTAGGCTCTGTGTAGCCTCCATTTTCTTACACAAAAAAAAAAAAAGGTAATAGAAATCTAGCTATTATTCTCTCTTTGGTCAACATAATCGATTATTAAAAAAAACCAACCTTTTTAATGCCTTTCCAGTTAGCAAGGATAAAATAGCATGTTTCATGGTTGCATGAATCAAGTGAAGTTAAATTGTTTGTAAAATCAAACAAATAGATAAACAATGTTAAGAAGGAAAATGAAACACAACTGTGCATAACCTTGAAGACCAATATTTAGAGCTCTGTCATATAACTTCTAGATTAACTTTGAGATAAGAACTTGGAACCAACCTGGATCATAGAAATAACAGACCAAAAAAATCGATAAACATACAAAAGAAAGGCAAAAAAGAAAATATTGGCCAAGAGAAAATTCAAATAATATGGATGAAATCTCCAAACCCTCCAAAGCAATAATGAATCGGATGAAGAAGATGATAGCTTATGGGTGTAGCCATGGTGCTCCAATTGTCGCCCTGAATTTGAGCTCCGTTGTCAGCCATCAACGCCGCGTGCATGGCCTCGAACTCCTTGGCGTCCACCTGATCTACTCCATCGGTGTCGAACTTCCCGATCATCGCCCCGACTAATTTTTGATGTCGCCGTTCATCGAGCGTGGAGATGTGAGTCCAAATTAATCGAGAGAAGTGGTTTGGATTTTGATCGGTTCAACCAATAATTCTGGAGAGATTTGGTTAATAGATAATCCGATA